CACATTGTGCACATTATGATGATGTCCTACCGAGTGGGCCCAGAGATACCTCTCCGTTACACGGAGTGACAAATCCCAGTCTCGATTCGTGCCAACCCAACAGACACTTTCGGAGATACCCGTAGCGCACCTTTATAGCCATCCAGTTACATTGTGACGTTTGGTACACCCAAAGCATTCCTACAGTATCCAGGAGTTGCACAATCTCATGGTCTAAGGAAATGATACTTGACATTAGAAAAACTATAGCAGACGAACTACACGATCTTGTGCTATGCTTAGGATTGGGTCTTGTCCATCACATCATTCTCCTAATGATGCGATCCCGTTATCAATGACATCCAATGTCCACGATCAGGAAACCATGACCATCTATTGATCAACGAGCTAGTCAACTAGAGGCTTGCTAGGGACATGTTGTGGTCTATGTATTCACACATGTATTACGGTTTCCGGATAACACAATTATAGCATGAACAATAGACAATCATCATGAACAAGGAAATATAATAATAATCATTTTATTATTGCCTCTAGGGCATATTTTCAATAGCATTCACGTTAAATAGGGCACCATCTAAATTCGTTGAGAGACGCCTTATGAACTATGGTTTGTCAAGAAACCAAAGTTGTCGTTTCTTAAAGTTTGGGGCTGCGATACTTATGTGAAAAAGTTTCAACCTGATAAGCTCGAACCTAAATCAAAGAAATGTGTCTTCATAGGATACCCAAAGGAGACTGTTGGGTACACCTTCTATCACAGATCCGAAGGCAAGACATTTGTTGCTAAGAATGGATCCTTTCTAGAGAGGGAGTTTCTCTCGAAAGAAGTGAGTGGGAGGAAAGTAGAACTTGATGAGGTAACTGTACCTGCTCCCTTATTGGAAAGTAGTCCATCACAGAAACCGGATCCTGTGACACCTACACCAATTAGTGAGGAAGCCAATGATGATGATCATGAAACTTCAGATCAAGTTACTACCGAACCTCGTAGGTCAACCAGAGTAAGATCCGCACCAGAGTGGTATGGTAATCCTGTTCTGGAGGTCATGTTACTTGACCATGACGAACCTACGAACTATGAGGAAGTGATGATGAGCCTAGATTCCGCAAAATGGCTTGAGGCCATGAAATCTGAGATGGGATCCATGTATGAGAAAAAAGTGTGGACTTTGGTTGACTTGCCTGATGATCGGCCAGCCATCGAGAATAAATGGATCTTCAAGAAGAAGACTGACGCTGACGGTAACGTTACTGTCTACAAAGCTCGACTTGTTGCGAAAGGTTTTCGACAAGTTCAAGGAGTTGACTACGATGGGACCTTTTCACCCGTAGCAGTGCTTAAGTCCATCCGAATCATGTTAGCAATTGCCGCATTTTATGATTATGAAATTTGGCAAATGGGTGTGAAGACTGCATTCCTGAATGGATTTCTGGAAGAAGAATTGTATATGATGCAACTTGAAGGTTTTATCGATCCAAAGGGTGCTAACAAAGTGTGCAAGCTCCAGCGATCCATTTATGGACTGGTGCAAGCCTCTCGGAGTTGGAATAAACATTTTGATAGTGTGATCAAAGCATATGGTTTTATGCAGACTTTTGGAGAAGCCTGTATTTACAAAAAAGTGAGTGGGAGCTCTGTAGCATTTCTAATATTATATGTGGATGACATATTGTTGATTGGAAATGATATAGAATTTCTGGATAGCATAAAAGAATACTTGAATAAGAGTTTTTCAATGAAAGACCTCGGTGAAGCTGCTTATATATTGGGCATCAAGATCTATAGAGATAGATCAAGACGCTTAATCGGACTTTCACAAAGCACATACCTTGATAAAGTTTTGAAGAAGTTCAAAATGGATCAAGCTAAGAAAGGGTTCTTGCCTGTGTTACAAGGTGTGAAGTTGAGTAAGACTTAATGCCCGACCACTTCAGAAGATAGAGAGAAAATGAAAAATGTTCCCTATGCTTCAGCCATAGGCTCTATCATGTATGTAATGCTATGTACCAGACCTGATGTGTGCCTTGCTATAAGTTTAGCACAGAGGTACCAAAGTAATCCAGGAGTGGATCACTGGACAGCGGTCAAGAACATCCTGAAATACCCGAAAAGGACTAAGGATATGTTTCTCGTTTATGGAGGTGACAAAGAGCTCGTCGTAAATGTTTACATCGATGCAAGCTTTGACACTGATCCGGACGATTCTAAATCGCAAACCGGATACGTGTTTATATTGAACGGTGGAGCTGTCAGTTGGAGCAGTTCTAAACAAAGCGTCGTGGCGGGATCTACGTGCGAAGCAGAGTACATAGCTACTTCGGAAGTAGCAAATGAAGGAGTCTGGATGAAGGAGTTCATATCTGATCTAGGTGTCATACCTAGTGCATCGGGTCCAATAAAAATCTTTTGTGACAATACTGGTGCAATTGCCTTGGAAAAGGAATCCAGATTTCACAAGAGAACCAAACACATCAAGAGACGCTTCAATTCCATCTGCAATCAAGTCCAGGTGGGAGACATAGAGATTTGCAAGATACATACTGATCTAAATGTTGCAGACCCGTTGACTAAGCCTCTCTCACGAGCACAACATGATCAGCACCAAGGCTCCATGGGTGTTAGAATCATTACTGTGTAATCTAGATTATTGACTCTAGTGCAAGTGGGAGATTGAAGAAAATATGCCCTAGAGGCAATAATAAAGTTATTATTTATTTCCTTATTTCATGATAAATGTTTATTATTCATGCTAGAATTGTATTAACCGGAAACATAATACATGTGTGAATACATAGACAAATAGAGTGTCACTAGTATGCCTCTACTTGACTAGCTGGTTGGTCAAAGATGGTTATGCTTCCTAACCATAGACATGGGTTGTCATTTGATAAACGAGATCACATCATTAGGAGAATGATGTTATTGACTTGACCCATTCCGTTAGCTTAGCACTTGATCGTTTTAGTTTACTGCTATTGCTTTCTTTTCATGACTTATACATGTTCCTATGACTATGAGATTATGCAACTCCCGATTGCCGGAGGAACACTTTGTGTGCTACCAAACGTCACAACGTAATTGGGTGATTATAAAGGTGCTCTGCAGGTGTCTCCGATGGTACTTGTTGAGTTGGCATAGATCGAGATTAGGATTTGTCACTCCATTTGTCGGAGAGGTATCTCTGGGCCCTCTCGGTAATGCACATCACTATAAGCCTTGCAAGCAATACAACTAATGAGTTAGTTGTGGGATGATGCATTACGGAACAAGTAAAGAGACTTGCTGGTAACGAGATTGAGTTAGGTATTGAGAAACCAATGATCGAATCTCGGGCAAGTAACATACCGATGACAAAGGGAACAACGTATGTTGTTATGAGGTTTGACCGATAAAGATCTTCGTAGAATATGTAGGAGCCAATATGTGCATCTAGGTTCCGCTATTGGTTATTGACCGGAGACGTGTCTCAGTCATGTCTACATAGTTCTCGAACCCGTAGGGTCCGCACGCTTAACGTTCGGTGATGATCGGTATTATGCGTTTATGTGATTTGATGTACCGAAGGTAGTTCGGAGTCTCGGATGTGATCACGGACATGACGAGGAGTCTCGAAATGGTCGATACATAAAGATTAATATATTGGATAACTATATTTGGATACCAGAAATGTTCCAGGTGATTTCGGAGAAAACCGGAGTGCCGGAGGGTTACCGGAACCCCCCACCCTCCCCGGGAGAAGTAATGGGCCACATGGGCCTTAATGGAGAGAGAGGGCAGGCCAGGGAAGGCCGCGCGCCCCCTTCCCCTCTGGTCCAAATTGGACTAGGGAAGGTGGGGGGGCGGCGCCCCCCTTTCCTTCTCCCTCTCCTCCTTCCTTTCCCCCTCCTAGTAGGAGTAGGAAAGGGGAGTCCTACTCCTATTAGGAGGAGGACTCCTCCTCCTGGCGCGCCTTGCAAGGGCCGGCCGGCCTCCCCCTTGCTCCTTTATATACGGGGGCAGAGGGCACCCTAGGACACAGAAGTTGATTGTTCCAAGCCGTGTGCGGTGTCCCCCTCCATCATAATCCACCTCGAACATATCGTAGCGGTGCTTAGGCGAAGCCCTGCGTCGGTAACAACATCATCACCGTCATCACGCCATCGTGCTGACGGAACTCTTCTGTGAAGCTCTGCTGGATCGGAGTTCGTGGGACGTCATCGAGTTGAACGTGTGCTGAACTCGAAGGTGCCGTATGTTTGGTACTTGGATCGGTCGGATCGTGAAGACGTACGATTACATCAACCGCGTTGTCAAAACGCTTCCGCTTACGGTCTACGAGGGTACGTGGACGATACTCTCCTCTCTCGTTGTTATGCATCACCATAATCTTGCGTGTACGTAGGAATTTTTTTTGAAATTAATACGTTCCCCAACAACTTCCCCCGCCACCATCGCCACTCCCAATCGAATAGCTTGGTCGATAAACCGCAACGAGACAAAGTGGATCTTGCGAGGAAGGAGAGAAGAAGATTGGGTGCAGCCAATGCGAAAAGGTAGAAGTAGCAAAGCGGTGGGCGAGAAATAAATGCAAGAAAAATCAAAGAAGCAACCACACACCTCTATCGAGAAAGACCTAAAGAAGAAGGAGGAGAATCTCTCCCGAAAAAATCGGGCCACAATCCAAAAAAAGGAGGAGGAGAATAGAGGCAGCCGACGGCAGGGGCGTCCAGCGCCTCCGGAGCCTCGACGGCGAGCGGCGGTGGTGCTCTGTTTTACTCGCCTTCACACTGCCGCGTATCCCCGTCCATATCTTCCACCCTCCAACGTCCAAAGGACTACTCTTTTCTTTGCCTTGCCGCGTTGCGTTGTTGACCAAGACCCAGACAGAGATTTGCTACGGCTTCTCCCCTCCGCCCGTCTCCTCCTCTCCATCATCTTCACTCACCGTCGCAGAAAAGCCATATCATCAATCCTCGAGCTGCTCTGCGTGACAGGGGAGGGACGCGATCGACAAGCGATGGACGGGGGCGGCGGGATCATGGCGAGCGCCGCGACGGGGGCGATGAGCTCCCTGCTCGCCAAGCTGGCCGAGCTGCTGGGGGAGGACTGCTACCAGCACCAGATGCAGAGAGGCACGCGGCGGGAGGTGGCCTTCCTGCGGGACGAGCTGAGCAGCATGAACGCGCTCCTCGAGCGGCTGGCCGACGCCGACGCCGCGGCGCCGCTCGACCCGCAGACCAGGGAGTGGAGGGACCAGGTGCGGGAGATGAGCTACGACGTCGAGGACTGCGTCGACGAGTACATGGGCCAGCTCCGCCGCCGCTCCGGCGGCGGCGGCGGCGGCGTGGTGGGGCTCATCCTCGGCTACGTGGGCAGGGTGAGGGAGATGGTGTCGCGCCGCGGGATCGCGGAGCAGATCCAGGAGCTCAGCGCGCGCGTCGTCGAGGCTGGCCACCGCCGGAAGAGGTACAAGATTGATGCGGCGGCGGCTAGCCCTAGTGGCGCCGGCGTGGTGCCGGTCGACTGCCGGCTGCCGGCGCTCTACGCGGAGCTGGGGGGCCTTGTCGGCGTCCACGGTCCGAGGGACGAGCTCGTCAGGCTGCTGGACGATGGAGAAGAGAGGATGAAAGTGGTGTCAGTTGTGGGGGCTGGAGGATTAGGCAAGACCACTCTTGCTAATCAGGTGTACCGAAACATCAGAGATCGATTCGATTGCAAATCCTTTGTTTCCTTGTCACAAAATCCTGACATTGGGATGATCTTCCGAACAATGCTCTCTCAAGTCAAAAAAGATGAGTGTGAAATCACTGGATCAGGTGACATGGAGCAGCTCATCAATGAATTGAGGGATTTCCTACAGGATAAGAGGTATCTAATCCCATAAATTAACTCTTAATTAGCCACCTTCTCATGAACATTTTGATTGTCTTGATGATAACATGCTTGTGTTTTCTGCTTATTTGAACATAATTATCTACCATGTGTTAGATATTTGATCGTAATTGACGACGTATGGAGCACCCAAGCCTGGAAGATTATCAAATGTGCTTTCGGCGAGAATACTTGTGGCAGTAGAATAATTGTGACAACCAGAATCGGCACCGTCGCGAAATCATGCTCCTCCCCTGATTGTGATCTTGTATATGAACTGAAGGCGCTGAGTGAGGATCACTCCAAGATGTTATTCTTCAGAAGAATTTTCGGCTCTGAAGATAGATGCCCACATCAACTCAAGGAAGTTTCAGTTGAAATTGTAAAGAAATGTGGTGGTTTACCTTTGGCAATCATTACCATGGCTAGTCTGTTAACCACCAAGTCAGACACAAGAGAAGAGTGGATGAAGGTTTGTGGTTCGATTGGTTTTGGACTCGAGAAAAACTCCGATGTGGAGGAAATGAACATGGTACTATCTCTGAGTTATAACGATCTTTCTCATCATTTAAGGACCTGCTTATTGTATATGAGTATGTTTCCTGAAGATTATGTGATCAAGAGGGATTATTTGGTAAGAAGGTGGATAGCAGAAGGGTTCATCAAGGTTTTTGGAGGCAGGACTATAGAGGAGGAGGGGGAATGCTATTTTAATGAACTCATAAACAGAAGCCTGATCCAAGCGGTGGATTTTCAATACGACGGCAGAGTATATGCGTGCCGGGTGCATGATTTGATCCTCGATCTAATTGTATCCAAGGCGGTCGAAGATAATTTTGTTACTATATTTACTGACAAAAGACAAGTACTGCGCCCGCAAGGCAAAGTTCACCGACTCTCATCTGACTGCACTAATGCAGAAAATATGTTAACATGTTCCAAGGCTGTTGCTCATGTTCGATCCCTCAACATGTTCAGGTACTCTGGACGAATGCCTCCTCTTTTGAATTTCCGGGCTCTAAGAGTGCTAGATCTAGATGGCAATGAGGATTTGGAAAGCTGCTATCTTGAAGATATAGGGAAATTGTTTCAGTTGAGATACCTAAGGATTCGAGCAAGTAACAACATTACACTTCCGGAACAAATAGGAGAGCTGCAGTTATTGGTGATATTGGACCTTCTCAACTGCTATGGTACAAGCGAACTGCCTGCAAGTATTGCTAAACTTCGGAATTTGAAATGGTTACTTGCTCATCGCGTCAAATTGCCTAATGGAGTCTGCAACATGCAAGCTCTAGAGTCTGTGTCACTTGTAGTTGTGGACTACACCACCCCGGTAACCGCACTACAAGAGCTGGGCAGCTTGACCAAACTGAGAAACCTTGGAATGGATTGGCGCATCAGTGATGCAAACAAGGATAAAATGACATACGCAGATAATCTTGTTTCATCGCTTGGCAAACTAGGCACCTCTAACCTTCGATGTTTAACGCTCATCAGTCCATGGTCACTGAGCTTCCTGTTGGATTCCTGGTGCCCTCGTCCTCACCACCTTCAGGAACTAACAATCAAAGGTTGGTGTCTCAGAAAGATCCCAGTGTGGATGGCCTCACTGGCCAACCTCACCTACCTAGACATCGAGGTTGAAGTTGTACAGGAAACCCTCGAGGTGCTTGCGGACTTCCCTGTCTTGCAGTTTCTCAAGTCATACTCAAATGCAGCAGACCCCCAAGAAAGATGTCTAGTTGTCAGCAACAATGGGTTCCGATGTCTGAAGAAACTGAACTTTGTCCATTGGACGAATCTGATGTTCTTGGAAGGAGCGATGCCGATGCTCGAAAGGCTCGAGTTTCAGATCATTGTGCATGAAGTGAAAACTGCATCTGGATTTGGTTGTCCTCTTGATCTTGGCATCCGCCACCTCTATGCCCTCAGGAACCTTGCTGTCAACATCTACTGTGAGTGTGCGAGAGTGGAGGAGGTCGAGGCATTAGAGGCTGCTATTCAGGCTGCTGTCAGTATGCTGCCCAACAGTCCGACACCGACACTACGTAGGTTTCGTGAACCGGAGATGCTAGCATCCACACATTATTAAGGTATTGATTGGCTGGTGGTTACTTCAAACCAAACCAAAATGTACTTCCGGGGTGTCAGCTGTCTTTGTGGACAACTGTCTCAGCGTTGACTGCTGTAACCGTGTCTCCGGTCAGACTGATAGACACATATGGACGAGTTTTTCTTCTTCCTCTTGGAATGTTGTAACTGTGTCTCCGGGGTATCATTTTGCCATTTCTTTGTTGTACAGAACGGATGGTAACAAATTTACGATGGCGTGTGACAGTTTTGCTCTTGGCATGTGATTATCATCTCATACCCCCTTGGTTTGCAGCACAGATTGTGCGCATGCTTTTGATCTCCCTTTTATGTCCAGAAGGATGTTGCCCATGTTCGTGAGATTTGGAGTTTGCAAAATTCAAGATGGTGTTTTCCACAGTATATATTCAGCTATGCAAAAACAGAAACAAATAAAATGGAGAAGTGGGGTATCGATCCCCATACCTCTCGCATGCTAAGCGAGCGCTCTACCATCTGAGCTACATCCCCTTGTTGTCCATCACATAATATACATTATATTATACTAAGCCGTGGCACCTTCTCAACATAGCCATTTTTAAGGCAGAAAACCCCTCCCATATTAGTTCATAATTTTCTACTCCCTCCATTCCTACATCCGTATATAGTCCATATTGAAATCTTTAAAAAGAGTTATACTCCCTTTGTCCTAAAATTCTTGTCTTAGATTTATCTAGATACGGATGTACCTAATACTAAAACATGACTTGATACATCCGTATTTAGACAAATCTAAGACAAGAATTTTGGGACGAAGGGAGTATTTAGGAATAGAAGGAGCAAGGGATAGTTATAGACACTGGCGGAGCTTAGGCAAGGCCGAATGGGCCGTGGCCCGCCCAGCCCAGCAAAAATGGGAAAGGATGAGATGAAATTTGGGCCTTAAGTGTAATTTCTTAGTCCGGCCCGCCCAACCTTTTTCCTGTAGCTCTGTCACTGGTTATAGAGTCATGCGGAGTGTCAAACCACACATAGCGACCAATCTCAAGAGAAGTAGCAAATCTAGGTAAAGAATGAGCCTCAAAATTACTCGTTCTACTCTCAAAACGAAACATGCACGCCTCAAACTCTGCTCTTCTGTCTTTAATCTCCTTAATAATGGCTTCATTTATTCCTCCAGCTTCTTCTGCAATGTCTTTAATTACCGACTGGCAATCCGAGGCAATGAGCAGATGATATTTGCCTAGGTCCAGAGCCAATGGTAATGCCTCCTTGCATGCCAACGTTTCAAGCG